AGTAGGTGAGCAGCGGGCCAGGGAGCTTAAGTTTCATTGTACTTGCAGCCGCTCCCTAGCGCTAGCATAACCGCCTTAGCTCCACCTCAGATCATCAGGCAATAGATTCTCATAGGAGCACCAGTCCCTGGTGCCAAAAAGGTTGGAGACTGCTGCTCTACCCTATTGTGACCACTGGTGGTTCTGGACAATTGACACATTATTATAACGTTCTTTCATTTACTAAATGTCTCATTTATGTCTGCCTTATCTCTTCAACTTAGTTCTGACCTTCCTATGGAACTAGATTGTACTTCATTACACTAAACTGTCAAATACATATAGTACATAATACAAGTTTAGAATATTTTTTTCACTAATGAAACATAAAAAATAGAATGGCATTCCTTTTGGTTTGGATGACCATTTCTTACTTTAAAATGTCTGATGGCCAATGACTACATTAAATAACCTCGAGAAAGCTTTTGTAGCTCTCTGTGACTGTGTCAGTAATTCATTCGTATAATACAAGACAGAAGCACTATAATGTTGGGGCTGAGAAGAGACAGACAGCTTAGCTCTATTCTTGGTTCTATGATTGGCTTCTGCACTTCCCACTTGCATGAATTTGGAAATGTTACTAAAACTCTCTAAGTCTTACTATCTTTATTTGTGATACGTGGTTAGTAAACCTACTTCCTAGGGTGGTTGTGAGGATTAAAATGAGTTAACACGGAAAAGGCATGTCATAATGCCAGGCATGATGTAAGTACTCGATAAATGGTTGTTGCTGCTGCTGTTGTTGTTGTTATTATTACTATTATTATTATTATTATTATTCCACCATCTAAATTATTCCCTGCTGCTGAGGTGAACATTCTGGGAATCACAATATGCTGGATATCTTCCGTTTGTCTCTCCAGATCTCTGACAAAGTCCACAGCTTCTGTCAGGCTAACTTCTCTACGTGGCTACTGTTATGGGCCAAATTGTGTCCCCTAAAATTTATATATTGAAGTCTTAACCCCCAGTTCCTCAGAATGTGACTGTATTTGGAGATAGAGGTAATTATCTTTAACGAGGTAATTAAGGTAAACATGGTCATATGAGTGGACCCTGATCTAATACGACTGGTATCCTTATAAATGGAGATTAGGACCCACAGAGAAAAGACCAGGTGAAGGCTGGGGGAGAATACGGTCATTTACAAGCAAAGGAAGAAGCTTCAGAATGAAATCAATCCTGCCAAAACCTTGATCTTGAACTTCTAGCCTCTAGAACTGTGAAGAAATACATTTCTGTTTAAGCTCCCCTGCCTGTGGTACTTTATGGCAGCCTAGCAAACCAATGTAGCCACCCTCTTCAGGTGGCAGTAACCACTGGTCCCTTGCCTCTTTAGACCCAGGGGTGCTAACAACTCCCTGCTTTATTGCTTGTCCCAGGATATTACACAATCCCTGTGAATTCCCTAAAACTTACCTAGGGCTTTGAAAATAATACCTTTTTTAAACTCTCCTTAAGTTACCAATTAAGTTTTTTTCTCCACGAAGGGGATCTTAATGTATCAATCTGGTAACTTAGCTGTCAGGACTGGACTCTGTGATTTTACCACAAGTCTTTATAGTGATAAGGGTCAAGGAGAGATTTAAATTCTTCCTAAGCAGCCCCTGAGTGTGAAGGTCACAAAAATCTGTCCTCTTCTCCAAGGGCAATCTGTATGCTTATTTGGAAAGGACCTAAAGAAGGTCTTTTCTGAAATGTTGACCTATATCCTGTAATTTGATTTTATGTCATGGTTACCACAGTGCTTTTTTATTCCAGAAATAAGAAATCGAACTGTTGCTGTGAATAAATTGTATGCTTTTAAAAACTTTTAGACAGTCTCATTTAAAAAAAAAAATTATAAAATAAAGAAAAAACTCAAGTAAAAACTCCTGCTAAATAATGTTAAATAACCTTTAAAATTGACATTTAGTTACTAGGTATTCCCTCTTTATCCTTTGACATTCGTATTCACAGATATTTCCCTTAATTTTTTGTCACTCACTGTCACTAAATACCCAGAGGAAGCCTCAGTGTTTGAGGAAAGCCAGTTCTTTAAGTAGGCTCCTGTGGAATTTTATTTATCCTAAAGAAAAACTTACATGGCTTTAAGCTGTGCTGTTGCAAAGCACTGCAGGGCAATTTGAGGAGTGTGCGCTTCTTGAGATTCCTTGGGCCAAGATCATGGTGAACTGCAGGGCCAGGCTGTCTACCTCCCCTAGAACCAGACCAGCCGAGAACCTGGCCCTGCAGTCTCTGTCCAGAAGCGTGACTGCCGCATCACGGTGTGGAATGGCAGCTGTGCTCTCTGGGGGACCCAGGCTGCGGGGATTCCGCTTCAAACCTCGCAGCCCAGTGCCCAAAAAAGAAACTTGTAAAATAAACAGGTGGCTGGTGAAGCCTGCAGCCTCCTGCATCGCAGGAAGCACAACCAAAGTAGGCATGATTGGTGAAAAAGGGCAAAAGTACAAAGTACAGCAAGAGGCTGGCGTTTCCTCCAGGCCGGAGGCCAGCTGAGTATGTGGTTGGCGTAAACGCCCTCCTGGCTGTACAGAGGCACTGAGGAGTCGTTTAAAAAGTATTTAGGAAAAACATGTTGGAGACTGTATTGTTTAAATTCTAGAAGATAATTACCTAAATTTATAAGCATTTAGTTCGCAATCACATACGTCAAATAATATAGTTTAAAACATCAACGGTTACTCATACTTTTCTCCTTTTGCTTTTCTTCTCCTTCTACTCACTTTAAGTGTTTGGTCTTCACTTTGGATAAAATACTTACTGCGGTTTGGAAGCCATTTACCAACAAAAAGTTCACGAATTTCACCACCTCCATGGCTGTGTCCATAGAATAAGTGATAAAGACCTTCCCTAAGAGAGATTTTTCACATTTATTAGAAACTAGTCAAATAATAATAGTTACATTCTGACCAACACTTGTATGCAATGTCTTTTGTTTCTCTAGAACAATAGAGAGAAACCTCCCGCATGGGGGTTGGTCTAAGTGCTTATGCCTGCAGCAGCGTGGATTACAGTCCTTAGGAGGCCCGAAAGAGCCGGGGGCCTGTCTAAGGGCGTGCACACTGCTCAGGGTGCATGGGAAGATGAGGCACAGGGAAGAGCGCTGGCAGGCTGAGACAAGCTGAGGAGGTCTTTTGAAAAACCACATGATGCCTTAACAAAACATCTTTCACCCAGAACCTGTGGGTCCTTAAGATAGGGCCACCACGTGGTTTCTTAGAGACACTTGGCACTGTGCCTAAGGAATACTCTCACAGCAGGCCAAGAAGCTGAGTCTGGCTAGGGGGTCACCCCACAGTGTCCTCTTTTGATCTCATGATGCTCTCTGCTGTCCTGAACTCTTGCTTGACAAGAGCAAGTGAGATGAGGGGGAAAATGATTCCCCTCCCCGTCATCCACTCACTGGTGGGGGAAAGGCCAGGAAGTTGGAGTAGACTAAAGTGCAACTCAGAAATGTTAGTAAAACTTAAGCAGCTTGAAAGAGATGCTGCCTCTGGGTGGCTCAGCGTCACTGACCCCTCGCTCCTCCCTAGGTCAGCCTAGAACAACAACAGACTGTATTGTGTCCACACTTGACCCAGTCAGCCTGACAACTAGTATTTTCTCAGGCTTAAGTCTAGGGGAAATTATCTGGCTAGCACGTTAATGTGATAGATGAATAATCTTTGTGAGTTGGATTCAGTCTGGAATTGACCCCCCTAAATCTCAGAAAGCCCCTGGGGCAGAGGGTGGAGGAGAAATGGGAGTTGGAGAGAAAATGAGTCTATATGTATTCCTCTATGCTTAGGCTCTTGTTTTTTCAAACACACCTTTCAAAGTGTCCAATTGGCTCATTTAAGCAGCCAGGTATATTGATGGCACTCAATTAATTTTTTTTCCTCGACCCCTTATATTCAACCAGTTCCTATGTAAGAAATTTAGGACTCCCTTTACAGATTATGGTAAGATAAATGTGATCTAAAAACTGATGTGAAAACTATATCCTTTGCAGAGGAGTACCCATTCTTCAGAAATGCTCAAAATTAAAATGTGTAAGATTTTAAGAAGATTAACACATTTTTATGAATGAAAAAACAATGGATCATTGTAATAGAAATATTTTGAGTCCTAAATGACTTAAAAGCACAGATCCTCAATAGAAATTAGCAAATGCAAAGGGCTTAATTTTCAAGTTTGGTTCAAAGAAGTACCCGGATTTGAACAGGACTTTTTAGAATTACCTGAGCTTCTCTAGCAAGCACAACAGAATATAACAATTTTACAAGTAGTGGCTGTTTTCTTAAGATTTCTGGGACTTATTACCCTGACTGACCTTAATATGAGAACATTTTGGTGATATTTCAGCATTTTTGTTTCTGGCTGCAAAATGTGGAAAAAGAATCATCACCTGACACTTAGTCGAATGTTTCTTTAAATAAAAGGCTTAGTTGCATCTGGTTCTAAGTCAGTACGGAGATTGTGACACTGATTTTTCCCAGCAAGATTGCTCATTCCTACAGGAAATGACCTCGTTCTTGATGGCTGCCGCTAATTTATGGTGAGACACTAGGTCCCTGGCCAATACCACATGGACATCCAATCAATTTGCCCAGGGACAAGTCCACTCAAGAGCATCATTTAGAAGAGGGAAAAAGAATCGGGGTTATTTGTTGGAGTGGATGTTTAAGAAAATCTAGTGGTAAGCACTTTGTGAGTATTGTTAGTAGTGTCAGAATCACTGAAAACATTCATATGAAATGCTGGTCACTTTTTTTAGCAAAAGGCAAAAAAGGGAAATTTTATTTCACTGTGTTTATGATAAATATCCAAGATTATGGATGCATAATCATGAAGTACTCTCAAAGTATAAGACCGGACAAGAAGAAGGAAAAGAAAAAAAAATTGTAAACAACTCACGCAGTTCTTCTGGCAAATTGCTTGTTTTCAGAGTTCCTCTGGCTGGAGGGTTACTAGGGGGTCTAGGGACAGCAGCTGGGAATGGAGCCTGGGGACCCTGTGGTCTCAACTCTGCAGGACACTCCAAGGACCCCTCAGGAGCTCCAGCTCTCTTAGGTGGCTGGTTATATAGCTGGTCCCTGGAAAATAATACATTTACAATAAAATGTTCATTTTTTTTTTTTTTTTAACAAAGGCACATCTTGAGAAACAGAAAGGCTTTAAGAGCTATGGGAAGTACCGGTGAGCTACTCCCCTCCTCTGCTAACGTTTCTTTTCTGAGCCAGAGGGACAAGGGCAACTCCACAGTGTTTCAGTCAATAAGCATTTCAGCCAACTGCCATATGCAAGGGCCTATGCTAGGGGTCAAAAGAGGTAAGCAAGATGTGCTTTCTCAATTCAAGGACTGTCTAATTGGACTGACTTATCTCACGCACAAGGCAGATAAGATCACCAATAAAACACAGTATAATGGGTGACACATGAGGTTGGTGTTATAGGCATTCAGAAAACAAGACAGGATTTTTAGCTCCTGATAGATAACATTTAATTATGTATCAGAACGTAAAAAAGGCCATATAGGTTTAAAAGTATTTATGTTGTTAATATATGAATGGAAATCTGATTTTGAAGACCCTTTAAGAAAGTTTCTACCACATGGTTATATGGAATCTTTATTATTGTTTTAGTATTCTTGTGAACATTCTGCTGAGAAGAACGATCAGATGCACTCATGTGACATTTGGAAGGCAGAAGGAAATGGAAGCCAGGCTTCTGCCACTTCCATGGTTTCTGTTGGTAAGTGTCATCATGAGGTGTTGAGTTCCTTGGGAAGCATCCCAGTGTCCCGTTACCAGCTATGCAGTGTCAAGGTCAGAGCATCCATTTTTGGCCAGTGGAGATCTAGCAGGCATAGAATAGCTGCAGAGCTGGCAGTTACCTGATTCTGGATTGTACTATGGTAGCATGGTCTATAATGGAGAGTTCCGCTGGGGTTCTGATCCTCTGCCTCTCTGACCGTGACAGAGGAAGCAGCCTCTTCGATGTACTGTTCTGTGGTGTTGCTCTGAAATCATTCCTAGAAACCCTCCAGCCTCCAACAATTTTATAAGTACTCAGTTCCCAAGTTAAATTCCTTCTGCTTAAAATAACTAGAGTTGTTTTCTGTAATTGAATCCTAACTGATAAGGGGATTAAAACTGTGTCTGTAATGTTGTATTTCTTAAAAAAAAACTCTGAAGCAAATGTGGCACTATGTGAACATTTAAAAAACCTAGGTAGTAGACATGGATGTTTGCTATTGGTTGTGTGTTTGAGATTATTTTATATTTTAAATTTTAAAAAATGTTTTGATTATAAAAATCTATATGTATATTCCAAGTTATTCCAGATTGTTCCCTATACTGTCCTAGTTTTGCCCAAAAGAGTAATCAGAAATTCTGAAAGTCTTATGTAATAGGATTTTAAATAATATTACATAGAATCCCAACTATAAAATATTTCTAAAATGTGAATATTTGAGGAAGTTATTTTTATTTTATATTTTTATTAACATATAGAAAAATTCCTGTAAAATATGCTTTCATCTAAAAGGGATCCAATTCTATATCCTCTTAACATTAAATCTCTTTATACTCAAAGCTGCTTAGTTGTTATAAAAGACAATTGTTCATTTGATAAAGAAATGGTAAGGCTTTGATAATATTCAAAAACTTCCATATAAAAACAATATCAGTATCATGAAGATTAATGACAGAGTAAACTTTCTGCATTAAGGCTCTCTTTGAAATTATCAGGAAGAGGAGAATTAGTTTCATTACCTGAATTTATTTTTCATTATCCTAAAGTGATAAGATAAATCCAAGGAGACCATAGCAGGCTTAAATTGATGTTACAAAAGCAATTACTCTGTGCTATAGTTGCAATTCTCTTTTAAATCTAAAATTATTTCAAAATAAATGTTTATTTTAAAAGTTACTGTTGTCTCCCCTATTCAATACCAAACATGTTTCATAAAGGTGCTTAAATTTTACGATGCTTAATTCCAAGAAAATTTTGTTTTCTTGGAATTATAGATATTTCTCCTGCAAGAGTACTCATCCAGTTGTAAAATCACATTTTACTTAATTCTGTTATTTAAACTCCATGCAATTTCTTTTTCTTTTTTTTTTTTAAATAAGAGACCTATTTGGAAAAAAGATCTGAGGGCTTGTGGGCTTTCGAGTAAAGAGGAAAGCAGGCATTTACCTTATTTGTCATTGTAATTAGGGTGGGCTTTTTTCTTTTAATAAACTTTTTTAGCTAATTACTAATGTCTATATTTCTGAAAAATCTGCTTTAATAAGACCTTCCTATCTCATTCTCTTCTCATAACAAATATAATTTTACTTTGAGTGGTATATAAAAGTAGTGCTTGAGCAGAGCAGGCATTTCATCTACTCTCTTTCTAATTTTTTCATCAATTAGGAAGCTCCATTTACATGAGTTTTTCCTATAATTTTTTAGATACATAAATCAAGAGAAAAGGAAAACTTGAAGAATGAGTCACAGAAAACAAGATAATAGTGAGAGAAAAATGATTAAAGGGTTAGACAACTGAAGTAAAAAAAATATTTTTCTGGAAGAAGTATAGCAATAATGGCATTGAACATGTGTGAATGCTTTTGTTACAAAGAAAATAACAGGTTATTTAAACTAATTATTGGCTACTAATTGAATTTAAAATTCCAAAGTAAGAAATGGATTTAAACAGCTACAGAAATGAAGAATATAAAAAAAGAACTCCCTAGAGGTGGAAGTTGGTCATAGTAAAAATAAGAATCTATTTCATGGACTAAAAGGCCTGGTGATCTGAAAATAAAAGAAAAAAAGAGAGTGTGACTTAGCATCTTAAGAGCTTTTCCTCCATGAGAATTTTGACTAGTCATCAGAGGCTTTATATGTCTGGCAAAGAGATCCTTGTTCAACCAGCTTCCATTTCCTCCTGACCTGAAAAGTCTACAAGGGGCATTCCACTGTGTGTCCTGACCACTAACCTGGGTAGTATACCAATAGAAAGTTTTGATACATCTTGATTACATTGGCATCATGCTTTTTTATGTTAAAACTGTCTGCAAGTTGGCCTGTCGTACTTACTGATACCTCTGGAGCCCTGGGGAGGAATAGTCTCTTTGTGCAGGCCTCTCTTCTTGGTCCCAGGGACTGGGATAATTCAGGATGACCTTCTGCACAGGGTGTGGGCCCCTCACACTGGCTCCAGGTAGGGGCTGTCCAGGCAGAGCTGGCTGGATCACTTGCTGGTAGGCTGCTCGAGGGTAGTCATGGCCATCTGTAAGTGAAAACAATAAAGAGAACAGGGAAGATTGACCTTAGCACCTTCATGTGAATGGAGAGGTAAGCTCAGTGCAAATTTGTGTCTTGATACCAACTGAGGGTACCAGATATCAGTTGCCTCCTCCGTGATGCTTGCCACATTTGCGTACTATTGTTTACTTGATATTTTTCATTAAATCGAGTCATTGTTTTTCTCTTTTCCTAAATAAAAACATCTGTGAAATCGAGTTTGGAGTCCTAATTGGAAAGTGCAAAGCTCCACACTGGTCCTTATTTTTAATAAGATATTTAGGATAATCCAACCACGAAGAACCTTTCCCACACCGTCATTCCTACCATAATTCCTCAAGTTTCTAGAACCCAAGGGTAGGATGTCTCCATGACAGATATGGAGTCACTACTCTTTCCTTTCCTTCCCCCAAGTGGACATACACACACCACATGTACACACATGCACACCACTTTCTCTGAGGAAGAAATAAATGAAATAAAACTTGGCTTATACCTCTGGGAAGTAACCAACCAGTTGGCAACACCACCTAACTTTCTTGGTCCTCTCTTGCTAAAGCCTATGTGCACTTTGGGCCAAGGCAGTTAGAAGGGGTCAGGGCTCAGAATGCAGCCAGAGCTGGCAGTGACTTATGTGAATGTGCAAGTTAGAAAAAAGTTGGTTCTAGCCAAGCCCAAGAGCAGCCAAGTCCCAAGGGAAGGACAGCCTGTATGACCAGGTGAGAGAAGAGCACTGAAGGTCAGAGGAGGGATGCAGGGAACCCAGTAAGGGTGAGAGAGGAAGGCTCTGAGGGAGGCCCAAGGGGTTCAAGTGTGGGAAACCTGAGAAGCGGGGATATACTTTAGGGGTGGGCCCAGACTCTGATGGGACTGGAAGGGACCAAGTGGATAACCCTGCAAAATGAACCATGAGTGCCTCCTGGTGAGCCACTTTGGCTCAAGTAAGAAGTTGGAGGATCCAGGAGGCATAGCTAGTTAGGGTAAGAAGGAACCTTATTTTTCAAAAAAATATATTTATTGGTCTTTATTCTTTTTCTGATTATAAAAGTGATAATCGAATTTTCCCACTGTAGGTAGGATACATGCAGGGGTATAAAGCGAAATAAAATTCATAAGGAAGCAAGAAAGTAACAAATAAGGTAGGTGGGAACCAGAATGTAGAGGGTAAGAATGTGGCTAAGAATTGTATTCTTACTTTGATAAATAGTCGCAGGCCACTGAAGTTTTCAGGGGAACATTCAGGGGAATGATGGCTTCCAATACAGAACAGGAGACAAACAATGTGCATGTTCACTAGTGTGGCTGCCTCTAGGTCCCCACTGTTTGGACCCAGGAAACTTAGCTAGGTGCCCCTGGAAATGGCCAAAGCCAGTCTCTCAAGCATGGTCAGTTTCCCTGGATTCAATCTATTGTCTGCTTTGACCTGTGGCACCAGCCAGGTCCTTCCCGTCATGCTTCCTCTGGCAAAAGTGAGCATTCCCCTCCAACCCAGGTTGTCTCCTGGCCCTGACTATAACTCTTGCCTTATTATGGCTTATGCCTGGTTACAATATTAGGGACTTAAGGAAGGGGAGGAGGATACAAGGATCTGTCTGGGCCTATCCCAGCCCCTTGGCTGATAAAGGAGGCTATGATTTGGAGGGCATCTCTAAGAATGGGGAGACAGGACCACAGAAGCCCCTCTGGTCTAGGACAGGATACGCCACACAGGTTTTGCTTTTACAGTCTTCCTGGGGCATTATTTCAAGGGGCCCAGATTGCCAGTTGGAGTTTTAGGCCAATAGGTCACGTCACTACTGCTGCTCCTTCACTCCAGCTAGAAAAGGGCAAAAAGTGCCACTGCCATCAGGTCACCGGGAATGGCCAGCCCTGCTTTTAGATGAGTCTTGCATGAGTGGACCATTTTCAGAACCAGAGATCTCCTATTGCACTTAAAATCCACCATGCATAATCAGGTCCCTTGATCTTGATCTCATCTTCTACGATGCTCTGATGTACTCAGCAAGCCCCAGCTACCCTGGCTATCTTTCTTCATCTTGAACGCCCTAAGCTTGTCCCCACCTCTGGGATGCTGAGTTTGCCAACTTCTCTGCCCAGAATGATTTTGCTTTATATCTTTACAGATCAACTTCTTGTCATACAAAATTCAGCTCAGATAGCACCTGTGCAAAGAGCCCCACACCTTGACCCAGTTGCCATATCCCATCTTCCCGCCACCATTTTATTTTCTTCACAGTGCTTATCATCTGTTTGTGTAAGTAAGCATAACTCTTACTTGTCAACTTTTTGGCTGCCTTCCCTTCTAGCATCTAAACTCTGTGAAAGCATGTACCGTGTCTGTTTACCATCATGTCTCCAAGCACAGTGCTGGCACCAGTGGATGCTTAATAAATGAATGAAGACTGAATAGTTACAAAGGCAACTCCACACACACAAAGAAAGAGAAACCATTTAGGACTGCACAATCTGCTTGCTAGGTCTTGGGTCTTCTAGACTACCTCTCATCCACTGTCCATTGTTTTATGTTTGTTTGTTTGTTTGTTTGTTTTTGACCCAGTGTCTCCCTCTGAAAGTAGGAAGAAAGCTAAGGTAAAAGAGGAGAAATTTGCTAGTGGCCTTGAACATTTTTAATGTTTGAAGCTATTTTTTGCTTCCTATATTCGTTAATAAGAAGCTAATAATGTTTTATTTGCTTTAAAAGAACTATCGAATTCTAATCATAGGTTTTGTTTCTTTTCCAGAAAGTGGATGTTAGTGCTGTTAATCAAAAGCCTTGGAATCAAGGTCATATGATTTCTAACAGATTATTTCCCGCACAACATGTTTTTGTCTCATAGCAACAAATCTTATCATTAAAATCACCAAGGCATGTGGGCTAAAGTGTTTGATTAGCTGTAACTTTCATTTCTGCAATGGCCACCTGTGGTAAAAACTTACACTGGTTTATGTGAGCACAAGAAATGATCCACCTCATCTATTTTTACTATTAGGGTAATGACGATATAGTCCTCTGTATTATCCTTTGATTGTTTAATACAAAGAAATATTGACTATCAGAGGCTCAAACAAACATAAGCCTTCCCTTTTGTAAGTAGAATTTGATTGCTTTTGTCTGGAATTAGGCTGGTTGTGTAGAAAAGTTGCTAAATAAAAACTATCCTTATCAGGTAAATGAATATCACTTCATTGCTTACGTTTTGATCATTCCATTCTACTATTCTGACTGAGGCTTTCTAATTTAGCTGAAAACTATATATATAATAATGGCTAACATTTATTGAGCACCTGCTACATGCCAAGTACAATTTTAAGTTCTTTATTCAAGATTATAGAATTCAATTTTCTGTTTTCCTAAAGAAGTTTAACTCAGAATAAAATCCAAATGCCTTACCACGATCTTCTAGCATATCATTTTCCCCCTGCTCACCCTGCTCCAGCCCCACTGGCTTGCTTTTGGTACCTTAACTATACCAAGCTCCTTGCTTCCTTGACCCTCTCATCCTTCGGGTTTCAGCTCAAAAGTATCCTCCTCAAAAAAGGCCTCCTCTGGCCATCCCGTCTATTAACGTCTGTTATAAAACCTGGTTATTTCCTTTATAGCACTTATACTTTGTTGTTTTCTTTGCCGATTTCCACTTATCTGTCTCCCTAGTAGACTGCGAATTCCATGAAGACAAGAACATGTGTTGTATTTACTACTGTATACCCAGTGACTAGCATAGAATTAGGCAAATATTTGTTGAATAAGTTGATAAATAAATGGGTAAATTCTGTTTCCAAATCCATAGACCTCCCTCCATTTCATCCTCTCCCATACGACAAGTACACATGGCCTTTCCCAGGCTTGGTATCACAAAGGTTGTACTCATGATTAGAGATCACTCCTTTCCCCAGGAAGTAGGGAATAGAGTTCTTTTTATTCATTCAAAAAATATTTATTGAACTTTGAGGGCTAGACACTTGGTGAACAGAGATAAATAGAATACTCTTCCCTTAAGTAGTTCAAAATAAACAGAGAAAGAGAGAAAAATCTGTGTGTCTGTGAGTGTCTGTTTTGAAACACAAACCCACACTCGTTAGTGTGTGAGGAGAGGCGTGCAGATCAGCAGCCACCTACATGGGAGACTTAAGAATTACTGCCCCAAAATATCTCCCCCACTGACTTGTCCCCGGTGCCTAAAATTCCATCAAGAGAGTTTATTCTGTAGGAGATGAAGACTAGAAGGTGGTGGGTGATGTGACAGACAAATGCTTTGTTAGCATGGTAACTGTTCGATTCTGAGAAAGTGTTAATCACGAAACAAAAACACGAACCTTACACAATCATAAGTGGGTGCCCAGAACGGTATCTTATTTGTCAGTCTTATGATCCTTTTGGTCTGGGTACACATGGTCTTCGTGTTACTGGGTTTTTACCACTTGGAATTTGTAAACCAAATCCTAAATGAGGTTTTCCACTTACCAGTCAAAACATTCAACATTTTTCTTCCTTATTAAGAATGGTATTAAAAGAGTTTATGAGAGGGAAAATAAAATCTGATTTTCAAATTGTCAAAAGACATCATGATATGATGCAGTTTAGCCAGGAAACAAAATGGCCAACATAAACTGTTACAGGACTCTCACAGCTGTAAGCAGCTGTGTTTCCTGAAAGGCAACTCCTTTCTTGATGGTTTCTTCCATCTGGTTTGTTTTTTCCTTACTTTTGAATTGTGCATGCATTCTAGCACACAAATAATCACTTTTGTTTTTTTTCCCATCCACACGAGCAATAGTAGGCACGTGTCCAGTTTTATTCTATTCAGTCTTTTTGGTAGAGAAAACAAGAATTTTATAGTAGAAATGAGGGCTCTCTAGATTTAGTACATTTTCCCCCCCTCCCCCCAATTTATTTGTATCATCAATGTTATTTGATTGCACATCATGATCTGCATTCTGGTGACCTTCCCGGAAGGATTCTGAGGCTGCCTTCTCCAGGGATTGGGAGGAGAAGGAAACATAGGCTTATTCTACTTCTCATTTTTACTTGCTTTGAGAACTCTTTTCTTTCTTTCTTTTTTTTTTTTACATAAAAGGGGTGACTAGCAACCATTTCTGCTTTAACTTGCAAAGGCTAGGATATGTCATTTGCATGGTGATCATCATTTATTTATATTTTCATTAACGGATGAGGAAGTACTGTTCTTCTAAAGCCTAGTAGAACCACGTAGCCATGGTTTCCAACTGCACAAGCATCCCTTAGGTGAACAGCTCTTTTGAAGTGGTTTTGTTGGCAATTAAATGCAGTTATAGCCCTGACATGAAACTAAGCATTTGTACACCTGCTTTGAATACTTAAAATCTGTACCAGCAAGAGGGATCTAGAGGTAGAGGGGCACTCTACAGGGCTGTGCTGCAGGATTTTAATATAAATAATATTTAAATAATAACAACAACTAAGAAGTGCTCATAAACTCTTTTAATACCATTCCTAATAAAGGAGAAAAATGTTGAAGGTTTACTGCAAGCCAGCCACGTTTCTAGTGTCTTTAAAGCATTATCTTATTTAACCTTCATGGGAGCCATTGCTCTTGGAGGCCTTATAAAATATTCTGGGCTTTCTGTGCCCTGAAGAAAAACCATAGCCATGGGCTTCCATGGCAAAATAGGCCCAATCCTGATCCTTTTCCCGGTGATAAGATGCCCTCAGAAGCCAGGGCCAAGGCATATGCACAGTGAATTAGGGTGAACCTGCCTATACACTCTCATTCCCCTTACTTTTTTCTTTTCAGCTTTTACCTATTTTTAATTATAAAAGGAATGACTGTTTGCCATAGCAAATTTAACAAACATATATAAAATTAGAAGGAAAATCTCTCTCTCTTCTTAATTCCCTGTCCCTCTTCTCTTATGATTACTCTTCATGTATCTTAATGTATCGCTCTTAATGTATAGTTTTTATTTATTTATTTTTCTAGGTGAGGCAACCCTTGGTTGACCTCACAGATTGCAAAGATCTTGTCAGCTTACAATTCCTTATTTTTTAAATTTTTTTATTTTTTACGCCTCCAGCACCTGGACTTCCTAGGTGGTCTCGACCCTGCTTAGCTTCTGGGATCAGATGGGATCGGGCTGGATCCTTCTTAGCTTCTGGGATCAGATGGGATCGGGCTTGTTCGGGGTGGCATGGCCATAGACTAAATGTATAGTTTTTTTAACATATATATTTAAAAAAAATAACACATATGGGATCAACACTGCATGCTTTTTCATCTAATCTTTTTATGGCAGAATGTATATTTTATTCTGTGTAATAGTCCGTCGTATAACTAAATCACAGATTACTTATCTATCCCGTTATTGATAGGCATTTTAGTTTTTATTTTTACTCTAATGCAACAATGTTTTAATAAATATTCTTGATCATGTATTTCTATATGCTTGTTTAAAGTTTCTATAGGGTATATTCCTACAAGTGAGACTGCTGGGTCAAAGAGGAAGTACATTTAAGTTTCGACAAATAATGAGATTGCATTCTAGAAGACTGTATCAATTTACACTCCTACCAAGAGTATATGGGAGTGTTCATTTTTCCAAAACTCTACAACACTGGGTGTTATTCAAATTTTTTTTTTTTTTTTTTGCACATCTAATTAGGAAAAGAGCTACCTTTAAAATTGGTGCATATATAAACTTTAAAATTTAGTAAAGTTAAGCTTGGTTTCATATGTTTATTGGTTGTTTGTATATCTTCTGTGAATTGTTCCCCCTTCTTGTCCAAATTCTCTCCTCTCTGCCTTTCATCATCTCTTTTCACTCCCAGGATCCTAGGTACCCCCTTCTTCCCCTGCCCTTCAATAGAAGGAAATAATATAGAGAGGAAGAAGGGACCTAATGAAAGAAAGCAGGTCCTGAGGTGTTAGAGGCTAAAAGTGTTCCCAGTCAGGAGTTTTGCATTTTAGTAGAACCTGCCCAGAGTTGCCAGTGGTAACCTACAAAGACTGGATTGCTAACTGTGCCATTTCAGGCTTCAACAGGAAAAGTATTTTCAAGCAGAAAAATCTTCCTGGGACCCTCATGTTATAATGAATCAATGCTTTCTTTGTCTATCACCTGGAGGCTTTCTCCTGTTAGGTGATAAGGGCAACTGCTTGGGACTTAGTGTCACAAACCCCTTGACTAAGTAGTCACACTTCTACATGTTAATTTAAGGAATTAATCAGAAATGCAGATAAAAAGTTAGGTATATAATGTTTGTCCTATCATTGCTTATTGGATAAGAAACTGGAAACTATTGAAAATGTCCAACAAGAGTGAAAAATACAATTCAGTAGAGCCATCTGATTAAACACTATGCAGCATTTTAAAATGATGCTAGAAGTGCACTGAATGTCATTGAAAATTATTTTAATGTTATATTAAATATATATGCTAAGAAAAAAGAAACAGAAATAAATATGTCAAAAACCCAATAAGAAATTATATTTAGGTGACAGAAATATGAACTGAACTTTTGGGCATATTTCAATTTTGAGAGTGTGCAAATATTACTGTTATGATAAGAAAAATTATTTTTATGTGCAGATAGTTTAAAAAGTAGTTTATGGTATTATTCTCACAAAGTATTCCTTTTTAACCTGGAAATCATTGAGAAATAAACCCAACCTGACCCTGCCAAGGTTTGTTTCTCATACTTAAGGAACTTGGCCACCAAACCCATCCTATTCCTGAGCACTCAGAGCAGGCAGTAGCTTCCACCACCCCCATCAGTGACTTCCCAGCTTCTAATACCCTGGGTCCCAGTTTTAGGCCTCAAGTGTTGTTTCTGCATCTCCTAGCTTTACTCCTACACCTTCATTCTTATCTGATTCTTCTGTTAAGTTTCTCTACCTCCTTCTCTCTCTTTTTTTTTTAATATATTAATTACTGTGTTGCTCCATTAACTTTAGAAAGGTTAAACTAAATGTATCTGCATAATACATTAATTGCGATTGATTACAGCATTTGTAAGTATTTCTATAATTTATTTTAAAGGTAGGCATCAGGCCTTTGGTCAGACTCTTCTTATACCATTTAAACTGCTTTTTGTGCAGTGCTTATTCGCTAAGAAAAGTATCATATCTCAGAGCCCTATGTTTGAACTGTAAAGCCTCTCGTAATTTTCCAGTGGCCTCAGTGGAGATTTAATATCAAGAATTGTGATGGGCCTTTGAAGACTATCACTCTCAGAGATGCTTAATGCACTGATGCATATTTTTCATTCATTCACTTATTCAGAAATAACTTATTGAGAGTCTAGGGTGTGCTAGTCATTGTGCTAAATGCTGGGAGAATTGTGGATTGAAAATACATCTTTGTTGGAAAAGCTTGCATTCTGGAAGAAGAGGTAGACAAGTTTATAACTAGTTGCCATACTGGTTACTGGGTGCCCTGACAGGCAGAAAACAAGGAAACAGAAGGAACTGATCTAGGGAAGTTTCCAGAGGGACACTGGAGCTAAGTCTTAAAAGATGTATATTGTGATGTTTGTATAACTCTGTAAATATACTACAATTCATTGACTTGTACACTTAAAATGAGTAAAAAGTGAACTTTACAGTATGTAAATTAGATCTCAATAAAGCTGTTAAAGAAAGAAAAGAGGTATAGAACGAGGTCAAATACACAAGAAGGGGAAGAACATCCTGGTTAGAGAGATGAGTGTGGGCAAATACCCGGAGATATAAAATAGCTAGACAAGTTAGGAAGACTGCTGGTCCTTGGGTGTGGCTAGAATATAGGGTAGAGATGGATGGTTCAAGTCTCCAAAGAGATTTAAGCAACAGAATCACAGGAACAATTTCATCTTCATGCAATGGTATGAACACAGAGTCCCAATGACTTTCTAGGAATCTTCTAATTTTTTGACTGAAGGCCCCTTTCTCTGCCAAATCTAAGTTGGGGAAGAAGCGTACAGAGAAAGAAGAACCCAGATGCCCAAGAAGTAGGACAACAAAACAATTTTCTAGAAGTCCTTTGGGCTATCTCACTGCCTCTAGGAAGATTTCAGTTAAATTAACCCAGACAGAGGAATCTGTTTTGTTCTTAAAGTTTCCTAGAGAAGCAGGTTCCAAGTGGGACAGGTTTTTTGGCTAAGATAAAGCGTTCTTCTAAGGCCCATTGCAAATCCAACCACCTATGGAAAGCCCACAGGAAGCTGAATGTCCTTCCTGCATTCCGGCAGAATGACCTGTCTGTGCTGGTCTACCGATACGAGGCACTGACGCGAGGCTCTTATTTACTCAGTTACCCAGCCCAGAAGGTCCAGAAGAGGGAAAGGTCACTTACATGGTGCCTGGTGATCGGGACCTCCAGGACAATGGCAATGATAGTTCCACTGAGCGTGTGGGGAAGGGTTGGGAGGCAGCATCTGTGCACACGCTGGATACCTCTGAGGTTCAAACGGATGGAACTCCCTGGACCTGAGAGGTCTGGGGAGGTCCTGGGGGTAACACACAGAAGTGAGGGGCAGGGGCCTTTCCAGCTGCCTGATGCCCAGGACGTCCTGGGGCTGGGAATCATACCCTGTGTCTATCGTAGGCAGATCTGGAGCTGCTCGGTTCCTGTGGGGCTGGAGCCGTTGCACAGTTTCTTGGCTACTGCCTGAGGAGTCTGCTGAGTCATTAGGTGAACCTTGGTCCGATTTGTCTGAGTCATGGCCAGTGTCAGGAGAAGCTGCTGAGAGCTGAGATCCCAGCCATTGAATACGTTTTTCCATAAGTGAAAACTGGTGCTGTGCGGGGAGGGCCCCAATCACAGACTCAGGCTGAGGCTTGTTGGCTGCAGAGGAGCCTGGGGGAAAATCTCTGCCCGGGTCCGGGTGTCTCCTCCAGAAGCTGTCTTCACTCTCCTCCAGGACTTTACTGCGCAGGCAGATGACCTGCTGGGACACAGGCTGCTGGTGATTTGAGAGTTTCAGGCGTGGATGAACATGAGAAAAGTCTCCTGAGGAATGGTAAGGGGTTTGGGGAGCAGACAAGCTGTTGGGTGCCATGTTCCTTATATTTGGAGCAGGCGGTTCTGGTTCCTTTTCCAGGGAATATTCTGGGATTGCTTTCAGTAACTGACTTGAGTATGGTTCTGATTCATCAACCTCCACAGGAATGCTTCGGTTCATTCTAGTTTCTGGAACAAGAGAAAACATGCCACAGCCTAAGAAGACAGATCATTTCTTGGAGTCCCCATTTTATGACCTTAAGGGACCTCGTGCAAGATATGGTTTAAATTAACTGTAGTGTGACACCAACATGTTTGCAGAGCCCCCAGTCACATAAAGTTGTTTACTTATCCTCCAGGCAAAGACATTCGTGCTTATTAAGATATTTTTATCTAGAAGGCAATTCAAAGAATGTGACTGGACTATCATGTGGTAGACAGCACAAGGGGAAGACACATGAAAATCATCGGCCAGCTATTGAAGATAGAGAAATTATCACGATGTGGGCTGCTTCTTGTGTGCTTATAAATGTATTAAGCATATGTGGAGGAAACATAAGACACTGCTACGTTGGTTGCCCTCGAAGATGGAATTAAGCTGGGGGAGAGAAGTGAGATGGAGCGTTTTCAGCTTTTAAACTTTTAAAATTTTGCTCTGCGTGACTATTGCCTAATAAAAAAAGGAAGGAAGGAAGGAAGGAAGGAAGGAAGGAAAAAGAAAAGAAAAGAAAAGGAAAGGAAAGAAAAGAAAAACGAAAAGAAAAGAAAAGAAAAGAAAAAAGAAAAAACAAACAAAAACGGAGCTGGTAGTAATTTAAAGTTTCCAGGGTCTTAAAGGGATTAAATGTTAAAGATCTAGTACATAATGGGTGCTCAATAAATGGCAGTTGAATTTATTAATCATCTATGTGGAAATGGTTGGGGAATGTGAAGGGATTTGCATATGCAAGTCATTGACACCACACAACATAGAAAGAAAGAAAGAAAGAAAGAAAGAAAGAAAGAAAGAAAGAAAGAAAGGAAAAAGAAAGCCTGACTTTAAAAGCACTGAAAAAAAGGTCACAGTGACATTCTGCGCTCAAAAACTGCAGGTTGTTTAGAGGACTTAATTTCCTCTGGCGCTTTGCCTGCAATGAAGGTAGCCATGACCATCTGGGTTGTGATATACCGGCTAAACTAGCAAGGTTTGTTAAACTAGCCTTAAGCCTACAGAGCCTTTAGCCCACAGTCCAGGTAATATTAGTTTTATCTGTAAAAATAGAACTCTTAATCAACATGACACAATGAGAGAGAAAATCAGCCCCCGCTTATCATTAGTTGAGATGATGCCCCAGGACACCTAGGCTCCAGGGGAAGGAGGACAGCGCAGGAGTGACTGGAGGCCTGCAGAAGGCTCTGGAGCAGCTCTTAGTGGGAGGGAAGGAGGGAGTGAAAAAGAAAAAAATCTCAGAGGTTTGTTCGATGCAGGCCTTGTACATAGCATACTTCAAATACCACACAGAGAAAGGAGTGGGGCCAGCGGTGGTGGAGTTTTAAATTCACATTTTGGATCCATGTAGAATTTCAACCAGAACATTTACTGAGAACTTGCTGTGCCTAAAATCATGATATATATCAATGATTGTTCTAAGACAAGTTTTGAGAAACGTGAATTCACCTTCTTTGGAGCCGTGTATCCAACCCAATGACAATATGACAGCGTGTGCTTTAAAATGCTCCCCCTCGGAACAGAGGTAGGGCCAGTGGTTTCCTCCAAATTTACCTTCACTGCCTACAGGGGGATACCTCCATGTGCCTCTCCACCGCCTGCCAAATAAATGCTCTTTCATACTCCTCTTACCTGCACTTGGTAACAAACTGACTCATTGCTGCAAACAGACTTTGTACTATTCTCTAGCACAACAGAAAACGCCAGCTTCTAATCCCCCCGCTGGCTCTCTCTCCCTTTCTAAGTCTCCCCTTCGGCTGCTGTCTCCCTTCCAGGCCGCTGTCCAGGCTGTTGTTCCTTTCCCCCTTGGCTCTTCAGAAGAGACCTCATCACCTAAAGTGATAAGACCCTGTAAAAATGAACAGGAACCTACCCCAAACACAAATATTTCAACTATTATTTTTAAATACTCACCATGGTTTTCTTTTGTTTATTACGGTTTTTTTTTTTTTTACAGCTATGAAATTGGATATGCCATACAACATGCTCTTCAGCTGGTCAGGAAACAAAAGTATTTTCTGAAGGGCTGGCTGAGTGTTGTATAACCTTCTGCGAGCATCTGTGGGCCCCCAGCTGAATGCGAGGGCAAAGAGAGGCATCAAGGGAGCCAACTAGTGAGAGGACTAAAGTCCGTCCACTCTTATGTGATTCACTTTCATTGCCCACACTTCAGAGACCACTGTTTACATTCTTCCTGGGTTTTCAAAGGCGAATACCTTAGAAATGCTTCCCTAAACAATAGCAAAAAGGCTGCAAATTCTACTCTTCCAGCTGAGGAGCCTTCAGGGGCTCGAAGGAAGCTAATAAAAAAGATGATGTGCTAAGGAGATATCTGAAGTCCGTCTTATGGTGGGAATTCTACAGTTAAAACTGGTCTGAAAAGGAACAAAGGGCCCCTGGGATGGTAGTAAATAAACCTGGGGTGGCAAGGAACAACCTCTCAGGAAAGCTATGGGATTAGCAATCCTTCAAAAACAAAATGGACCCTGATTTTTAAAAATATGTCGCTATCAAATAGTCAATCAGCAAATAATTACTGAACCCTGCTATGTGTCCAACTCTATGCTGTGAATCCTCCTTCTGAGGCATGGGCTTAATTTTAAAAACTTTTATAATAGGTAATACCTACACGTGATACCAAATTCAAGAGTACAAAATGATATAGAGTAAAAGGAAATAAAAATTAATTCTAAAGATATGTCAAATGTCATTCCTATCTTCAAGTTGCATATGATCCAGATTGAGAGAGAAAACTACTAGAGGAAAGGCTCTACCTCAGGGCCTTTGCACTTCCTGTCCCTGCTTCTTGGAACACTCTTGCCCCACATTGCTGCATGGCTTTCTCCCTTTCTCCTTCAGGTTTTTATTCAGCGTCACTCTCTCTGTGAGTTCTCCCCGGTCACTGTCTCTAAAAGTTTTACATACCTCTCTTACTCCCTGTCTCTCTTCCCTGCTTTATTGTCCTCTCTAGTAGTTACCATCATCTTATACATCATCATACTACAATATGTATATTATAAATACAAATATCTGATACAGTGTTTATTGTCTTCCCTTCCCTCCTGCCCCAGAATTTAAACTTCACAAAGGTATGATTTCACAGCTATATTCTCAGCACCTAGAATTGTACCTGGAGCATAGTAAGTGCTTAATAAATATTGGTTAAATGAATAAATGCTTGATGCCTAGTTCAGAGAGGGGACAGATCCGTGTAGCTGGCAGGATCACTGATAGTGAGAATGTTAGGCTCCATGAGGGGTAGCAGGGAGTATTTGGTGGACCAAATCCTCAGAGTTCTTAAAATTGTACTACAAGGGTATTCTTCTCCCTTCTTCTCTTTCTTCCTCTCAAATATTTAAGTGCCCACTCAGTGTCAGGCCCCAAGGTGGGCCTGGGCCATGCCTAAGAGGTCCTGCCCATAGGCAGAGTTGACCATGACCCTCACTTGCTAAATGAAGGCGATTCTACCACCCAGTGTGATGAGAACATCTGCTACTCTGCTCCAGATGGGGAGGCAGCTGGTCTAGTCATGTATCCTCAGAGGTTTGCCCAGAACAGCAGAGGGCGGGGTATGCCTGCAGCTACCATGTGGGCCCTTCCCAGCCCTAAACCCTCCTGAGGGTGTCACAGAGAACAATTACACAAAAATGCCACATCAGAGGGCTATGGACAGATTAATGGGTTGTGTTGAAAATGGCAGTTTTATTTTTCGGTCTTTAATGTCAATATTGTAAGAATACTACACATTAAAAAAAAAATCACTTAGTATCTCGCCACCCCTAACTATTTCTGTTGTCCCCTGTTTTATTCCAGAATGTCTCTATATGATGTCCACGTGGTTGTAACCCTGGCATTGCCTGTGCTCCAGTCCCTAACAAGAGTGGCACTTGGATTAAAATGGAAAAAACCCTGTTTCCAACGATGACCTAGAAGAGAAGGCTCTGACCCCTAAGGGGAACAGAAGGCCTGCCAGCCAGGACCCTGTGAGCACCAATGCTGGCAGCGCCCTGGACAGTCTCGGGCTCAATAGCATGAAATCAGGAAGCCCAGGAGCAGCTGAGGCCTGCCAGGCCTGGTGGACAGTGGCCACGTCTGCCTCACCATGGCAAATCCCTGGGGAGAGGCTGGAGGATGAGGAGACCCACGGGAGCTTCTGGATCAGAATCCCACTCTGAAGCCCACAATACAGATGCTTGGGACCCACACACAGAGATTCTGAGGTGGAAACAGGACTCCTGTGAATTTTTATTTGGGTCCCATTGGTAAACAGGTTCTCTCATACCTTGCCAAGGGGAGTGTAATCTGTACAATTCGTCAGTAATCATCAGAATTTGAAAAGTTTATGCCCTCTGACCTAGCAATTTCACCTCTAAGAACTTCCTCTATAGAGATGTGTGTATATGGTGTGAAGTGAAGAGGCATGAAGATAGGCAGTGCCCCGATGTTTATAACAGCGAAGGCCAGAAAAAAGCCGCGTGTCTAAAAAAGTTCTGATTTTTCAAGCTGTGGTCCAGCTGCCCAATGGATACTCTATATCTTTTAAAAAAGGAAGTGCTGTGTGAACTGATGTGGAACTATCTCCAAGATTTATTGTGAAGTTTAAACAAGAGCAGAATTGCATATGCTGCCCTTTGTACCATCTAAGATTGTACAGGCACACGCCATCTCTTCAGAAACCCAGAACAGCAGTGGCCTCTGAAAGGGAACTGGATCCAGGGGTGGGAGGGGGACTTGCTTTCCAGAGCATTTTACACCTTTTAAATCTTGTACCAACTGCCTATGTATCTGCTTAAAAGATAAAAAAAAAAAAAAAGGAAAGGAACTAATCGGGGGATCACTTCATACATTACATAAATGTCTAACCACTATTCTATACACCTGAAACTAATATAAAATAATAACAATAAAAAAAGGAAAAGCTCCACTAGTGATTCTGATGTTCAAAGATTAAGAACTGATGTGAATGAGGCACTTCTAAGAC